CACCTTGCCCCCGTATGTTTTACAGCTTTCTCTTTCCATTGGGGACCACAACCTGGCGATAAAGGCTGGGCGAGGAGCAAGGGATAGTCTTGAAACCCTGTACCCCAGGGAGGGTAGCAGCTGGCTCCAGAGTGGATGTGGAGAGTGGCCCCCAGGGACCTGACAGATCCTGTTATTTCCAGAGGCCCTGATTTCCCAGATCAAACTGGGGGCAATCCCAGTTAAGGGTGAGAAGACAGGGCTGGAGGCCAGCCTCCCCCAGGACTCACTGGTAGTCTGCTGCCCTTCCCACCTGGATCCTTCCGTCTGGGGGATAAATAGCTGAAAGGACAGATGGGTCACAGTTCATCTTGGGGAGCCTGAGACCTCAACACCCTGGTAGCTGCCAGAGTGAGGGTCTAGGGCTACAGCTTACCAGGTGTCCATCCCCACCGGGAGAGTCTCAAGACATCTGTCCAGAAACAGATGCTGGCCCTTGAACCTGCCCTAGGGCCCAGCGCCAGGCTGACCATCTGGACTGGGAGCTCAGACGCAAACTGTTAAGGTTAAAGGTCAAGAGAACCTAGTTCATTAAGCATCATACTCTGTCTCAAATTTTCTCATTCACGAGCTTTCATCTCATTTTCTGTAACAGAGAAAGTTATGTGACCTACAGTAACACGGAAGTAAGTGACAGCCCAGATTCTGTGTGGCTTCCCACCCCTTGCTCCTTACGCTACCATAAGCAACCCCAGGGGACAGCTGAGTAGCACCTAGAAGCCAGATCTGAGTTGGGAGCTCAGATACTCAAAATTCTTCTCCCATCTTGGAAGGCATGGCCCCACTCTGCAAATGGGGATGGCCCCAGCCCATGGAGAGCACAGGATGCCTAATCACAACAGGGAGGAAGCGATGGATGGATTTAGCATTTGATGATGGTGGTGGTAGAGGATCCAATCAAGGAGAGCCTTTGGAAAAAGGGGCTCCAGCTGCAGAACGTTCTCCTCGAAGCCTGGTCCTGACTGTGATGGGCATAAACATCAGTGTCATACTTGGCCTACAGCTGTGCCTTCGCTGTCTGTAACTTGGATACTCTGAGGCAGGTTACTCAGCCTATCTTGAATTGATTCCCCATTCTAAAGAGCGGGGAGAAGACCGCCCCCGAGTCGCGCTGCTGTATTCCAGGAGAGAACACACACTGTGCCTGCACATGCACAGGAAGCCCTGAACATGAATACTATTGCTCTGGCCGTTCCCTCCCTCCCGCGGCTCTAACCAGCCCCGGCCCACTCACTGTAGCTTGCGGAATCTTTCGAAGCCAGCAGCCACATACTGCCCTCCATTCTGCAAGTCGGCCAGGTCCGTGACAGGGTGGCCACCACGAGGCGTATAGAGGGCCCGCACAGCCACCGGGGCCTGCACAGTCGAGGTCACCTCACAGAGGAAGGTCTCCAGGGTGGGAAAGCGGCTTTGGCTCACCACCAGCTGGCGGCCTGGGGAGAAGGGGTCCCCGTTCCGGTATACCACCACCCTCTTGGCTGCTGGATTGCCACCACCGGCCATGGTGTGTCCTCAGCGAGAGACGCAGAGCCGTTGCCAGGCAACTAAGGCAGGCTGGGAGCAGGGCCAGTCAGAAGTGGAATCCTGCCCCTTCACCAGGAGGGCGGGAGAGACTGCAGGGCCTTCAGGGTCTCATCTGGCCGGCCCTTGGTGGGGCCTCCCGAGAGCTGGGCGGGTCTGATCACTATACTGGAAGGAAGACCCTGTGAGAGAGGCAGTGGTGGGGAACACACCGAAGCACAGATGTTCTAATACTGGACAGAGGGAAGAATCCGCAGAAGCTCCCTGCCACTCTGCAGCCCAAGGGCTGAGCTCAAAAGAGGATCAGCTTTGGGGACTGCTCCCAAGGATGGCCCATCTGCTCCTGGACTGTGGCTCCCAGCCAGCCCTGGGGAAGGGGCCCCATGCCAGCAGGAAAGGAACAAGAGGGCCCAGTGTCTATCCTGGACAGAGGCAGAAGATGAACGCAACCAGGTGCAGAATCCATGAGAAATCTTTATTCTCCATTAGGCTCCCCACGTTACTTACCCCAGGAAACTCCCTATCCCCAAATCTGGATTAAACCACAGGCAGAGGATGAAAGTATGTTCTCCCTCTGCTCCTACTGGTGCCAGCTATTTGCTCCAGCTTCTCTTGGCCCCATTAGCCACCAACAGTCAAGGGCAGAAGGAAGAGCTGGTACCAGGGAGCAAGGATGAGGCCTGCCTCCCTCATCACCCTTTCATAGCACCCCGCTTTGGAACCTGGTCTTCCCCTGGCTCCCCAGGGCCTAGCCTGGTGGTCCTGTTTTCCATGGCCTGTCCCTCCAGTGGTCCTCTCCCATGTGGGCTGACCCTGTCAAAGACAGTTTCTCAGACGGCCTTGATCGCCATGGTACAGTCCTCTGGTTTTTCCCTTCCTCATGGCTAGGTTCATTGGCGGTTCTATCCCTGGAGCTTTTCTCACTAGAGAGCTGGCCCTTAGCTGGTTTAGTCTTCCAGATACCCTGGCCACCATGCTCTGCCGAGGTCTCATCCCAGATGCCACAGTCCTCCGAGGTCTAACTTCCGTGGCCTAGCTCTTTGGCTATCAGGGTCTCTGTGTTCTGGCCTCCTGGGAGACTTGTCCTCAATATCTGGGACTTCACAGTGTGGGCATCCGGGTCCGGGCCTTTTCGGAACAGGAGCCCCTAGGTTTGAGGCCTTTGGGGGTGTGGTCATGCAGGACGGTCATTAGCTGCGGGCAGGTCTGTCCAAATGTCTGTTCCCCATGGTCTGGCTCTTTGGTGAGCCTGCCCTCTAAGGCCTGGTTATCTGATGGTGTGGGCAGCTGTGGCAGAGCCCTCCTGTAGCATGGGTCCCTGTACTTGACCCCAGCAGTGGTTTTGTCTGTAGTGGCCAGTCTTTCCAGGGACTTGCAGGGTGGTGATTTGAGCCTCCAGCAGTCATCCACGTGGTCTGGCTCCCTAGCAGTCCTGTCTCGGTAGGACTGGTTTTTCAGTGGCGGGCTTGTTTGTGACCCAGCCCTCTCATAGGTCTGTGCCCTGCGGTGTGGGCACACGCTGGGCTCGTCTCTAGGCTGGCTGGCCTCTGGGGATGTCAGTGTTTGTTTGAGAATTAGGTACTGTTGGGAAAGAGAACAGACACTGTACCAGGCAGGACTGCTTGAGCACAGAGCAGGAGGCTTTTCCCTAACCCCCACCCTTGGCCCTAAATGTGCAGGCAGGGCTCCAAGGGAGTGCCTACCTCCTTACGGCTATTGATGGCCTGTTGTAGCCACAGTAGTTCCATGGCCAAGTGGTTGCGGTGGTACTGGAGCTCAGTCTGGCTGCGGGGCAATCCTAGACCTGCAGCTTCTGCGAAGGAGGGAAGAAAAAAGGGAGAAGGCTTTAGGGGTACACACTGGCTACTGGCTACCCTTAAGCCCTGGCACTCTCCCCCTGCCCACCCCCGAGTTGCCCTTAACGAGGCACTGGGAAGAAAGAGAGGGATGCAGCTCATGGAGCACAAGCCTTTCTACTTTTCAGATGGGAAAGCTGAGGCCCAGAGCAGGTCAGGGGCTTGCCCTGAATTGAGGCACAGAGGTACCTGGGTTTTCCATCCTTGACGCACCTCTGGTCTCCCCTTGGCTGGGATTCCTGGCTTTCCTGCTGTGCTCATCCCGAAGCCAAAGGCTGTCACCTCCGCAGAGAAGACTTCCTGAGTTTGCAGAGCTGTCTCCTGACTTCTTCAGCATCACCTCCCCCAAGACAGCTTCTCTCTCAGGTTCTTTACATGAGAAGCTGCTCCGCAGTTCCTGCTCTGGATTTGGTGCCCTCCCTTGAGGTTTCTGGGTCCGATGGGATTTTGCCTTCTGAGAAATCAGAAGTATGAGAACCTCACAGCTAAACCCTCCAAATATCTGGGTGCCAAGATTTAGCATACAAGGTGGTAAGGATTAAGGATTGGCATGTGAGGAGTGCAGTCTCTTCCATCGAGAAAAGCTTGTCAACAGGAAGGGTGGATTCTACCATTTCCTTGAATCCCCTCTCCAGGTCCCTCCTACCCCTCGCTTCTTCCACTGGGGTGTATACTACCGCTGGGAGAAACTGGGGCCTGGGAATCCAGCCCTCTGTCCACTGAAGCGTGCCCAGATCACCCTCGATTTCTCGTACAATAGCTTCATACTCAGCTCGCAGATTCTGGAAGTGGCGTCGGACCAAGAAGCCCCGGACGCAGGCCTGGCGTGGAGAATAAGGGGGAAAGAAAATGCTTATCACTGCACAAGTGGGGGCATTTGGGGGGGTTTCCTGGAGAGGTCGTCCCAGGGACAAAGAGGGGCTCTGGCCGCGGGAAAAGGCTGGGTGATGCTGTACGTCAGGACAGTCTCCGGGGGTTCAAGGGAGGATGCCGGACTGGATCCCTCTCTTGAATTTAAGGCCCTTCCCACCACTTCCTCGATCCCGCAGGAGCGTGTATGGTGGGAGTGGAAGGCCGGTGAGGGTCCGTGGTCCCAGCATTCTTCAGGGCGGTGGGGGTGGGACGGTAATTCCAGAGGCGGACACGAGGGTAGGTGACTGAACGTGGTACCCTCATCTCGTTCGAAGGTCCCAATCCGAGATCCCGTGGTGGGAATCGTGCGCCCCCCGCCCGCTCCGTACCTGCAGCACCGACACCCTCCGCATCAACCGCTCCCGCTCCATCCCGGCGCCAACAGACCCGCGGCTGGCCGGGCGCCTGCCAGTTGCGTCACTAGTCTGCGCCGCACGCAAGGCCCCGCCCTGCCGTCTCCAAGGCAACTCGCTCCTCTCGCGGCCGCGGCCAGCCTCGGGGGGCCGGTTCCCAATACCCACTTCCAGACCCACCCCCCACCCCCGCCACACCGAGCGGGACCGCCCAAACCACGGTGTGTCGCAGAGGGGTGTCTCTGCGGAGGCCGGGTTCCGGGGGCCCTCGCCGAGTGAAGGCGCAAGGAGGGAAGGAAGCAGACGGAGCCGGTGTCTCTTTTTTTCTGGTTTAATGCCATCCAGTGCCCCCCTCCCCCGTAGCACCTGGGGAGCCGCGGAATACCCGATCGAGTCCATAAAAGGTCACAGTTTGAAGGGAATGAGAGGGGCAGTCTGGGCCTGGGTCCGACACCTACACAGCTGACTGCTCCTCAGGCTCGGCGTTCTCGGCCAGGTGCAACTTCTGTCTGTGCCAGTCAAGGATTGCGATGCTTTGGACCCCAGTCTTCCCAGCCCTGTCTGTCCATCCTGCACCGGCTTAGTTTCCCCAACTGCACAAAGAGGCGGGGTCGGAGGACTCGGGTGATCCGTGGTCCAGGTTGCAGCCCACACCCGCCCTTCTTGCTATAGGTAGCTTACTCCCTTCTCTTTTGGTCTAGATCTTGCAGGTACGTGCACCCGCACTGTTTCTGGCTGAGACTAGATGGGGAGATAATCTAAATCAGTGAAAATAATTATTCAATGTTGAAAGAGTAGGAAGACATCAGACAAGCTTTGCCATGGATTGGTGTCAGCTAAAGTACTTGCAAAGATTTTCTTTCTTTTAAAGATTTTATTTTGGGGGCGCCTGGGTGGCTCAGTCAGTGAAGTGTGCGACTCTTGATTTTGGCTCAGGTCATGATCTCAGGGTTGTGAGATCGAGCCCTGCAGGGGGACTCTCTCCCTCTCCCTCTGCCTACCCCCTCTCCCTCTCTTAAAAGAAAAAAAAAGATTTTATTTTTTTTCACTAGTGTGACTTAAAAGGTTCTATTTTAATTTTTTTAAAGATTTTATTTATTTATTCGACAGCGAGAGAGGGAACACAAGCATGGGGAGTGGGAGACGGAGAAGCAGGCTTCCTGCTGAGCAGGGAGCCCAATGCGGGGCTCGATCCCAGGACCCCGGGATTATGGCCTGAGCCGAAGGCAGCCGCTTAACGACTGAGCCACCCAGGCACCCCAAAAGGTTTTATTTTTAAGTAGTCTCTATACCCAACATGGGGATCGAATTCACAACTCTAGAGATCAAGAGTCCCAAAAGCTCTACCGACGGAGCCAGCCAGGGGCCTCACTTGCAAGGATCTTCCTAAGTGGATAAATCACATTCCCTGTAACTCTCTTTCTCCTGATATTTGGGACAATTCTGCCTGGGGGGCAGTTTGTGACTAATTCTGCTTCAGTAGGACAGAAAGGAGAGACGTTGGTTATATTGTAAATACTCCTAGAGGGTGGTGGGGAGAAAGAAACTGATTTTGTCTGTGGGAGGTGTGGACACACACACACACCAGCAGGGTCCCCTGGAAAGGATACATAGAATTACTAAGATCTTCCAGCTGTCAACAGAGAGAAAAGGAGGTTCCTGTCAGGAGAGGCACCAGGCCCAGCCCCAGATGCTCTGCAAGCCATCTTCTGGTAGGGGTTGGGGCTCCATGCACCCCCAGCTTTTCACCCAGGGGCCGGGAACAGCTTTGGGATCATGTACCTCCCCCAGCCCCCAGTGGCCCCGGGAACAGAAGCACCCAGCCCTGACCCACATTGCTGAGCAGCTGGTCCAGGTTTCGGTCAGCCATCGTCTTCTTCTGCTCCTCGGGCAGCCCCTCGGTGACCGCGTCCTCCTCCTCCTCCTCCTCCTCCTCCTCCTCCCCGCACACATCCAGGCTGAAGTGCAGCCGGGCCAGCTTCTCCTGCATCTCCCGCACGTGCTCCAACTGCTCAAAGGAGCATTCCTTCCCTGGACAAGACCCGTCTGAGCCCCGGGAGCACCTTGGGACCCTGGCCCCAGCCATGGCCCAGAGACCGGGCCCTCGAGCCCCACCCACATACCCCTCTCAGGCAGCCCCTGGTGGGAACTCACCAAAGGCCTGCAGCCGGCCCGAGTGGAAATCATTGAGCAGGTTCAGCAGTCCCCCCTCCATCTCATAGACGTCCGTCACCTCGGTCAGAAAGGAGTGCTGCAGGGGCGTGCCTGCAGAGCCGCCCCCGCTTCCGGCCAGCGCCGGGCGGCATTTCTCCTTGCCTACCCTGGGTGGGGTGGGCATGACCATGGTCACAGGGTGGGGGCGGCCAGGTACCCGGAGGTTTTTTTATGCCCTCTGTCTCTGCGCTAATTCATCTTCCTATCTACTCCTGAACAGAAACGGATGTTTGCTCTTGCAGCCCTGCCCTGGGGCACCAGGACTGGGAAGGGACGGGAGTGGGTGAGCAGGGGTAGGGAGAAGAGGTCAAAGGAAGTCTTTTTTCTTCAGATGACGCTCCTAGCCAGAATTGGGCCTGGAGGGGGGCTTTTGGGTTCCTGTCCGAGCCCTGCGCTCATTCCTCCCACGGCCCTGGGGGAATCGCTTGTCCTCCCTGGGGACAGTTACTCCTTATTGTCATGACAGCCATCTTAACCTCTCCCAAAATGTCTTTCTGTTCATCTCCTCTTCAAAACCGTTTTGAATTTTCCATTGTCCCCAGGATAACACTGAAGGACCCTTCTCAGCCTGCCCCCCCTTTCCTGTTGCATTTCCTACTGTTCTTGCTCCAGCCCTGAGCTTCAGCGACACCCCACCGTGGCCGTCCCCAGGCAGATCTCTCAGGCAGGTAGTGTGCAAAGCCACAGGGGGGCACAGTCACGGGAGAAAGAACACCTTGTGTTTCGTGGGAAACAAACATGGAGACATTGTATGGTAGGATACAAATCCCCAATTATTAAGAAAAATTAAGCAAAAATTCATATTGTACATCTGAGTCTCCCCTTACCATCTCCTGCTCCGTGACACTTGAGGGCCACCAACCACCTGTGGTTGCTGTGGAACCACCCAGGTTCTGAGAACCTCCCAGGCAATATTTTTCTTCCATACTTATGTCAGGCAAGTCCCTCAGCTTAGACATTCTCTCTCTCTGTCTCCAGTGTGCCCTACAGCCTCTCTTTCTGGCAGCATCACTCACTCCCTGCTCTGAGGTGCATCAGCATGGTGTGAGATCCCAGTCACCCATCTAGCCTTTCCCCTGCACCTGAGGGCACAGACTGGGGCTGAGGCATCTCTGAGTTCTCTCTCTCAGCCCCAGGGAAGGCATTAACTGTTGCTAAGGCTAAGGCTTAAGCTAAGGCTGTCTTTACCTTCCTTCCCACAGGGCTCAGCCCAGAATTGGGGTGGGGTCCCTCCCTCCTTGCCCTGCTTTCCTTCTGTACCCACCTCTTGAACTTGGCCCGCTGCTTGGGGGACGGCAGATGAGGGAGTCCCAGGGCCAAGGAGCCGCTGTGGCTGGTGGGCACAGGGACCCTTCGTAGTGTTCCCGGGGCCTGGGCTGGCTGGGTCAGGCAGGGCTTGGGACTCCTTTTCTTCTTCTTGTCCTCCATTGGATGCTGGCTGGGCCTCAGGTCCCACTGAGATAGTGAGAGGCAAAGCCATCACTTCACCCAGCCACCCCTGAGAGCTGCACAGGAAGGGCCCTGGGACCTTCCCCCTGTCCCCTCATAACTGCCAGGGCCTCGGTCCCCTCCTCTGTCCAGGATGGGCAGGCCCAGATGCCAGTGCCCTCCCGCTGGGGTCTTGGATGTGTATTTGAAGGACCTTCCAGGGCCTACCCAAGGCACCCCCCCGCCCTCCAGCGCTGGCCTGAAAACCTGGCCGCTGCCTGGAAGGGCTGGACCAGACACTGTTGTCCCGCTGCTGCTGGGGTTTCCTGTCAGGAAGCTGGCAGAGGAAACGGAGGGGGAGGCAGCGAGGCTGTGAGCCAGCAGGAGGCCAGTGGAGGGTTAGGGGTGTCTTCACCAGGTTCTCTTGTATTTATTTAATCAGCTGTCCGGGCAGATGCTGACAAACTTTGTCGGCAAGGGAGGTGACCAAGGTGTGGATGGGGGAGCCTGGGAAGACCTCAGTGTCAGGCAGGCACCCCCTGAGGATGGGTGAGGGCACTCACTGTGGGATCCCCTGCCCACTAGGACACTGGCATCCCTCCTCTTCCGCCCACCCCCAACCCGAAACATTAGGCAACTCCCAGAAGTTCTCTGGGACGGGCTCCCTGCCGCTGCGGCCAGGGTGGGGTGGGTGGTCGGGCAGCTGGCGGTCTCGGCCTCCAACAATGGCTGGCCTGTGGCTGGCACTGCTCAGCTCCGGTCCAGCTCCACCCCCTAAGCCTCAGGTCGGCCGCGGTCCTCCCGGAGGAGGCCCGGGGGCTCTTTCCAGGGGCTCTCCCAAGCTGCTCGCTCCAGGCTGCCGACTCTGGGATGGTGGCGCCACTGGGGGCATCAGCATTGAAATTGGCACCTGGCTGGCCAGCCCCAGGGGGGTGTGGTGGAGGGGAGACCGGAGCACGTCCTCCGTCTTGCGTTGAAGCAGCTTGGCCCAATTAAGGACTTGATAGAAGAATTGGAGCAGGAGCCCCTGCTCCCCAGGAATGGCTGGGGGCCATCTGGGATCTATTTCCCATGGGGAGTCTTCAAAGCCATGTGCCAAAAGGATCGCTCAGCTGGGGAGCCAGGATCCAAAATGGAGCGTCAGGCCCGAGACGTTCCGCATCCCCTCCCACACATCCTGGAAGGGGGCAACTGACCTGGAGGTGTGGCGTCGGGAGCGAGGCTTCGGGGCCGTTCCCTCCGCGATCGGCGCTCTCCTCCTAGGGAGCCGAGCGGGTGGAAGTAGAGCTGGGAGGAGGTAATTTGCATTTAAAGAGAAAGTGACCTTCTTTAGCGGTTGGGATGCATAAGATGGGAGGAGCCTACAACAGTTACTAGGCTGTCCCTCTCACTTGACTTTACCTCCCCAGCTGAGCTAAGGTGACTAACGTTGGTTGTGTGCTGGCAATCTAAAAAACTCACTTTCCCCTCAGTTTGGGGAGAAGCTATAGTCCCTTACAAAATGGTGGTGGCTTTGTCAGAAGGCCAGGGTGGGGCGATAGGGATGGGGGGCAGAAAATGTACATAAGCATGTAAGATATATATAAGCATACAAGATATATATACATAAGCCTGTAAGCAGCAGCAGCAGGAAGAAACTGCAAGAGAAGATAACCACCTATTGAGTCTGGGTCCCCTGTTAAGCACTTTACGTACATTTAATCCTCATAACAATCCTGCAGGAAGATACTGTCATCATCCCATTTGCCAAAAGTAAACTATAGTCTTTTGAGGGTAATACTACTCACCCCACGATACCCAGACACTTCTCGCTGGTAAGCAGTGGGGGCTATATTCAGCGCCTGATGAAGTGATGGGACCAAGCCTCCTCCCTCCCCACCCCCAGGTCTAAGAGACACGTGTGGGGAGCATCATGTCAGAGGGAAATTGGTGTGATTACCTGGCACTTGACCCCAACCCCCAGGAGGCTGACCCAGCGCTGCCCGTGCTGCCTGGGAGGCCAGATCAGTGGGGCAGCTATTTAAAGACCTGGCAGAGGCTCCCAGCTCAGGTCCCCAGAGAACAATCTAATGCAACAGGAGACAGGCTTATCCTTGGCCCGGTTGCCCTGTGGTCCCAAATAACTGCCCCAGGGCAATGTTCACAGCACCCCGGTCCCCTTTCCCCTCCCATGGGCAGGAGCAGCTTCCTGGGACCTGGGCCTCCGGGTAAGTTAGGGAGGGATGGGTTCTGTTTCCACAGGCACCCACGCAGGGACCTTTCCCAGGTGCTTCCAACACCTAGACTGTTTCAGAAGGGGAGACATTAATTCAGGACTTTTTCAATAACCAAAGGCTGGAGGGAGGGGTCTGCAAAGGCAGAGAGAACAAGGGGTAAGCTGCTCTCCTCCAGCTGCTAGAGGGGCACCAGGGCTCCTCCAGGAAAGTGGTGGCAGGTGCAGGAGCACCCCCTAGGGTGAAGCTATCCTCAGAGATGCGTGGCATGGGAGCTTCAAGAGTTGGGGCGGCCTCCCTGGACTCCTTCCAAACATCTTTGACTGTGGCCAGCCCAGAAAACTATCAACCTGTTTGGACTCTGATCAGAAGGGGCAGAGGCTCCGAGGGGACAGTCACAGCCAGTGTGAACACATCTGCTTGTGGAGGCCTGGAGGGAAGGGCCCTTTACTTGTCTCTGCTGTTTGTTGGGCATTCACATACCATCCTTTGTGCCAGGCCAACCCAGGCTCCAGAGAGAATAGGGTGCTGGTACAGGAGCCCCAACTTTTGCACCTAGGTTGGCAGGGTGAGCAGGAATGTGTAAAAACCCAGCCCATTCTTCAGAACTGCATGCAGAATGTGGTCTTTTCAAGGAAGGTACAAAATCAAAGGAATTCACAGGTAGGCCAATACCAAAGGATGCTGCCCATGGCGGACAGCCCTGAACAGCAGTGATGACAGTGTCCAGCCACCTGATTTTGGGCCTCAATTGGCCTATGCCTACATCTCTGGTCTCCTTACCTTATGCCTTCCTCATGGATCTTCCCAATGTCCTGTTTAAACACCTTCAGTGGTTCCTCCTGTCCTCTGGATCTAGCCCAGATTCCTTAACCTGTCACACAGACCCCTGGTGACCTCCTGCCACTACCCTCCTGTGCACCTGCATTTCTAGGTGAACTACTTCACTACTAAATCAAGTTGTCAGACTTTTACCTGTCCTTTGTTTGGGTCATAAGGCCCTTCCAGGTGTCCACCTCTAGCTCTTTGCTGAAGGGGACAGGGGCTTCCTTTATGGTTCCACAGCACCACCACCGTTTCTTCATCTAAAAGTTATCTTTCGGGGGGCGTCTGGGGGGCTCAGATGCTTAAGCGTCTGCCTATGATGGCTCAGGTTGTGATCTCCCGGTCCTGGGATAGAGTCCCATCTTGGCCTCCCAGCTCAGCGGGGAGTCTGCTTCTCCCTCTCCCTGTCTCTCCCCCTGCTCGTACTCTCTCAAATAAATAAATAAAAATCTTTAAAAAAAAAAAAGTTATCTTTCGGGACGCCTGGGTGGCTCATTTGGTTAAGTATCTGCCTTTGGCTCAGGTCATGGTCCCAGGGTCCTGGAATCGAGTCCCGCATCGGGCTCCCGGCTCAGCGGACAGTCTGCTTCTCCCTCTGCCTGCCGCTCCCCCTGCTTGTGCGCTCTCGCTCTGACAAATAAAATCTTAAAAAAAAAAAATTAAAAAATAATAAATAAATAAATAAAAGTATCTTTCTCCAGGGCGCCTGCTGGCTCAATCAGTAGAGCATGTGAGTGCATGATCTAGGTATGAGTTCAAGCCCCACACTGGGTGTAGAGATTTTTTTTTTTTTCTAAAGATTTTTCAAAGGGGCGCCTGGGTGGCTCAGTCGTTGAGCGTCTGCCTTCCGCTCAAGTCATGATCCCAGGGTCCTGGGATCAAGCCCCGCATCGGGCTCCCTGCTCGGCGGGAAGCCTGCTTCTCCCTCTCCCACTCCCCCTGCTTGTGTTCCCTCTCTTGCTGTCAAATAAATAAAATCTTTAAAAAAAAAGGTTTCTGAGAGAAAGAGAGCAAGCATAACCGACCGAGCCCCCTGGGCGCCCTACAGGGAGCGCTCAAAAAAAAAGTATCTTTTCTTCATCACTATCCTGACCCTTCATGGGGCAGGGGCAACTTTTCATTGAATGAAAGAAAGCTGATGCTTCTATGTATCTGAGCATCTTGCCAAATGTGCCCCGGGCTCTGCTCAGGCAGCTCAAGTGAATTTGCCTGTGGTGACCTGGCAGGCAGGCGGCACTCTGGAAGATGCACGATATGGCACAGCCAAAGGCTCTGCAACAGATCCAGACAAGTCAGCGATGGCTAGGTGGATCCAGAAGCACCAAATGACCACAAAGGTCAGGAGAGAAACAAGTAAGGCAACAGACTCTTTATTTAACGTGGTTTAAAATACATCAAAATCAAGTCCCTGGCTGTTGTGAATACCAAAAGGAGACCAAAAAAGGCTGTCAGCACAGCTTTAAAACAAATCTGGGTGGCCAGGTCGGGCCATATGGGAAGCAGTTACAGGGACAGAAGGCAGCACCCCTCCCCCAGGCAGGTGCCCGGCTGTCCCTGGGGCGGCCGCCTCTGCGCTGCTCAGGTGGGAGGCCTGGGGCAGCAGCTGGAGAATCAGCTCAGTAGGCTTTGGCCTCCCCCACAGCCACCAGGGCAGTTCCACTGGCCTCTCGGTCGGCCCTCAGCAGGGCCACTGAAATGGGAGCGGAGATAACCATCTTTACAGACAGAACATCCTCTTACAGAAAGTGCCTGAGCTCAGCCCATGGTCCAAAAACCTCATGGAAAACAAATGAAAGCTAAGTGCTGCCGATACCTCTCGGGAACCTGGTGTACATGAGGCTCTCAGCCCAGCAAGGTCCGGGGCACACATTACGTCAGCAGGGCCAAGGGCTCTGGGCGGTGAGCCTCACCGGCAATGGTCCCCTGGAGGAAACGCTAGCAACCTAAGAATCCAACACAGCTCTTGGTCCTAAAACTGAGGTCATGTGCTCGGGCCCTGCCCTAGTGAGGAAGATACTGGCCTTCATCCAGATAGGCCACCTTCCCTGCGTCTGGCCCGGGCTCATGGCTGGCAAGGGCGGCCCCAGGTACCTGGGCGGACTTTGGAAAGCAGAACAAGCAGAACAGCTGTAGTGATTAGTGTGATTTGGTCAATGGAGAGAAGAGGGAGAGGGACAGTGGGAGCCTTAACTGTAGCTGGCCTGTACGCCTAGACACGGCTAGAGCTGAGGGCAAAGGTTCTACTTGCCCAGGGCCTGGATTTTGGATGCAGGAAGCCTGGCTGGGGCCACCTTGCTCACTGCAGCCCCACGGTAACTAGACTGGCTCTCTAGGGGCGGCTATGCCGTGGTCCCCCACACCACCACCCCGGGCTCCCACAGCCGTCCCCCTCAACCCCACGGGCTCTACGAGGTAGCTGAAGCAAGCAAGGCAATCGTGTGGGCTACTGCAGGCCTCCTGCTCTTGAAACCGGGCAGGCAGAAGCTTGCCTCTTCCCTGCGCTTCCAGAGTGCAGCACAGCCTGTACGTGGTTGGCAGTTTGTGTGTGTCTCAGCCTGACACAAGGCCGGGGGGGGGGGGGGGGGGGGGAGGGCGGGGAGGGGAGGGGGGAAGAAGGCCTTATTGGGGAAGGACACGGCAGATCCAGGGACCATTCCAGATATAGCAATTTCAGAGGGCAAGATCTTAGGGAAACACTTGTTCACAGGAGAGCAGGAGCTCAGCCAGGGATGGCAAATAGGTCTCAACACTCCTCCTGGCTGCCAGGGGGGTCCTGAGAGCAGGCTACAGCAGGGATTAGCGGGAAAGACTCCGAGGCCAAGCACTGCTTCCTGCCATGGGGGCAGAGGAAAAACGGTGTGCCGTTCCCGTGCCATCTCTGGTCTAAGTCGTTAACATGTTTCACGCGCACTTAGCACCCTTCATGAACCTGTTTATGTGAGGGACTGAAGTGAAAGGCATGGAGAGCGGGCTGGTTGTTGAAGACGAACAGACCTGCAGGATAATGAACTAGCTTCAAGGAAATCCAGCAAGAAACCAAAGCTCCACCATCCTGTGCCTGTAGGTCCACAGCTCCCTCAGCTACACTGCAGCCGAGGCCTGGCTAGAGGCGGGTGTAGGACCTCAAGCCCACCAGAGCCCAGCTTCCCAACCCGTGCCTCATTCAGTTGTTCCAGAAAATTGCTCTGTACAGACTGATGAATATGCAACTGGCAAAACTTTCAGTCTAGAGCAGCAAGTACTGGGGGAGTGTGGGGGCACCAGACCCAAGTATCTGCAGCCGTCCTGCGGATTTCTGAGGCTCATCAACTGTCAAGTCTCACTCTGTCCCTCAGCTGTCAGACAAGAGCTAGGGGCTTCCACACAGGAACTGAGATATCAAGGACATACTTCAGCTTATTCTTTAGGCAATGGGACCAGGGCAAATCTCAAGGATTGCACATTAACGGTGGGGTTAGAAGCAGAAACAGACTCCTAAAAGCCAAGGGGACAGTTGGGCACGGGGCCCAGCAACTGCCACATGGAGACAGCGGTGATGGGCATCAGCAGTGGCCTCCCAGGACTGAAACACATAGGCAAGCTTGTGGCAAAACCATCAGATGCCCTTCTCTTCCTCCTAACCGCAATCTGATTTCACCAACAGGAAAGCTCAGCACCAACGTGGCAAAGATACCAGGTGGGGTGTTGAGGGTGGGGGGCACTGGAGGCCAACTGCGCCAGCAACCCCTCCTTCTTCCTCAGATCAATACACACACTGTCATGTGCAAAACAAAAACAAAAAACAGAAACCTTCAGAAAGCATCCTTTGGGTGATGTCTTGTCAATCATTTGTGCAGGCTAGAGAGGCACCTGTGAATGATAAGGCTACTGAAAAGCATCGCCGGCCTGGTCCTGGCATCACCTGAGGGCTCCCTAACCGTGTACCAGCCCACAGCAACTTTCTCCAGGTCCCCCGTCCAAAGCAGGACAGCAGCTGGATCCCCAGCTCTGCAGGCCCTGCCCAGGGACCCCCTTCTCCAGGTTAAGAGAAGCAAAGGAGCTTCCAGGGGAGCTAGGAAAGCCAGAGCTGCCCAAGCCCTGCTAACGAGGGAAACACAGTCAAGGCCTGAGTGTGTCATTTGTCACAAACCCTGAAGGGCAGGAAGGGGGGGGATCTGAGCCTCAAGTCAGACAGGGGAATGCTCAAGTCACTTGTCCTGCCAGCTCACTGTGACAGCAGTTACAGATGGCAGCTCCTCTTTAAGACTCTTCAGCTCACAGAAGAGCCAGTGACTTCACCCGTGCACACCCCCACCTCCAGTGCAAGCCCATGTTCCACTTAGATATAGAAATGTAGGAGGCCTTGCACATATGCCATACGTATGGAAAACTGACCCACAAAATCCAGAACTGCAAAGTGTCAGATGTCAGCCAGGTCGGAGCACCCTGGGCCTCAGCACTGGACTGCCTAGCGGTGGGAGCCTTGCCTGGGCCAGGCCTGGCTGGGCTGCTTGCTCCGTTCCCAGCACGCCCCCCGTGCCAGGTTCCCTAGGCGGTGGTGGAGGTGGACTCCTGGGGCCCTGCTTGGCCGGGCATTTCTGTGCTCGCTGCTCCAGGGCAGCAAAGAGCTTCTGTGACCCTCGGGGAGCTCGGTGACTGGGCCCCAGGACCCTCACAACCCTGATCCCTGGAGGCGGTTGCAGCCTCTGGTCTTCGCTCAGGGCCGCCATCAGGGAGGGAGCCCTGGCCACCAGCACTCAGGTCCTGTACCCTTTTGTTCAGGTCGTTGCGCTCTGTCTGCAGCGCCCGGCACAGCTTCTCCAGCCGCTGGATTTTCACCTGTAGGCCCTCCAGCTCTTTGTCCCGGAGTGTTTTCTAGGGAGAGAAATGGGGCCTCAGTGCCACACCATCAAGCCCCCACCCCACAGAGTCACGTGGTAGAAAACATTCACACTTGAATGATACTGGGAGCAGACCAGAGCCAAGAGCTGGTCCCTTCCTAGTGAAACAGCCCTGGTGTGTGCCAAGACATGGCTGCTGGTAGGGGGGCAGTGTGGCACCGAGAAGGGGCGTGGCTTGAAGACAACTTATTTCTCCACTTATCTGCCAGATAACACAAAGTAGGACCTTTTTCTTATCTGTTAAAATGGCCTACTGGGGTGCCTGGATGGCTCAATCGGTTAAGCGTCCGACTCTTGATTTCGGCTCAGGTCATGATCTCAGGGTCGCAAGATGGAGCCCCACGTCAGGTTCTGTGCTCAGCAAGGAGCCTGCCTGAGATTCTCTCCTCTCCCCAACCCTATGCCTCTC